TCGAACCACTGACCTCTGCGATACTAGTGCAGCGCTCTACCAATTGAGCTAACAAGCCAACTGGGAGCAGGCCGTTAAGTTGATTCGTAATAAAACCGTGAAAGTGATAAATGAGATACAATGAATATATGAGGTTCATATATTTTAAACTGCGGTTATAGATACGTATGATGTACGATCCTCGCAGTAGAGAGCGCTATTTATGCAATAGCAAAAATCGAACCAGAAAAAAATCAGGCCTGTACGGGATTCACTGACAGGTGACCAACAGACGGCCAACTGTTGGCCATCTGTCGGCCGACGCTTTGGTCTGCAACATAACGAACTGTCGGCCGACTGTTGGCCGACAGTTGGTCGACCATCGGCCGACAGTTGGTCAACCCTCGGCCGACAGTCAGCCGACAGATGGCTGACAGACGGGCAACAGTTGGCCGACTGTTGGCCCAACAGACTGCCGATAGTATCTTTTGGGAACTGTTCTTCACTTTAATCGCTCTTTCAACATGAATGCGGTGCTGCGCAATTGTCTGGGTCCTGATTACAACACCCTCTCCGAATCCCACTTTGTCCTTCATGAAGGGAGGAATATTCAATTTCAATTTTGCAAGGTCATCACAGATGTCAAAACTTTTGTCTGCCACGATGGCATCTCCTTCTTTTAGTTCTCCACATTGTACTTGTTGTTTTACAGATTCCAGAAACCCTGATCTCTGCACTATTTGTTTGTCAGAAATGGAACAATCGAATAATTGAGACACAAACATAATGCCACCATTAGGATCCACTCCCAAGAGAGACTTAAAATTTATGTGGGACTTGTAAGTACTGTAACTTTCACTTGCATCAACAGTCACATGCACAATAGTGTTAGGATACTTCTTAATAAATTCCTCTTGAGAATGTTTTATATTTATATCTCTATGTGGCCATATTTTTAGGCTGCCAATTACATTATACACAAAATTAACCCAGGTAAGATTAATATTATTTACAGTACTCTGGATACACAAAACCTCTCTGCTAAATCAATGTTGGACAGTCCCATCCTCAGCTTCATCAGTAACATGAGAAACTCATCCTCCACTGAAAGCTTGTGTGCAGAGGGTCTTGTCATTGTTGATTCCCTTTCAACGCAATCATTCTCTCCTTCAGTTTCACCTTCCTCGAACAGTTTTTCAATGTCTATCACGCTTGATTTTCCAGCTTCGCTATCCCAGTAAATCAAATTTTTTGGGTCAAGATTGCGCAGTAGAAATTTAAGTGTATTCATGAAGTCAACATAGGAATTAAAACCAGTGAAATGTGTGAAACTGGTTTTAATTAATGAGCTTATCTTCTTTGGAGAGCGTAGTGCACTTTGAGATAGAATAAATATATGAAAATCATATATTTTGAACTGCGGTATTTGATACGTATGATGGA